TTGGGATGAGGAAAGCAAAAACTTTCCTCTTTTCTGGGACTTCCAGTCTTAAATCTGTAACAGAAAATAAGGCATTCCCACACACCCTAGACCTTCAGCAAATGTGTTGTCATTCGAAAATCCTGGACATGTCAATTTTTCTGGTTTTGAGAAATAATTTTTCATCAATGAGCTGAAAGGATCTGATCATGATAGCTCTTTCAAAATGCTGTGTTTAGCTTGACAGTGCAACTGAAATTATTATGAGTGGACTAAAGATGTGTTATTTTTTATACGTCATATAAATGCATTCAGCTATGTTTTAATTCTCTGCATTGAGAGAAAAGTGAACTGAATAACTGAAATAAAACAGGAACCTTCTACATGAGTAACTCATGTAGTCAACATATTTTTCTATTTCTAAAGATGCCTTTTACTGAGGATTCTGTTTTCTATTAAACAAAAGTCACTTTACCACCATTAATAACCTCACTGACTGTGATGACTTAAGTTGTGTGAAGATTACATATAGTCAAGGCTGTTCTTTTCATCCTTTTACTCATTTGCTTCTGGTAGTGTGTCCCTCTGGATCCCTCTGACTTGCAGAGATTGAAACTTGTCATTCATCCTTGGAACACCACTAGAGAAAACAAAACTGCTACAGGATATAGCCTGATGATTCATTCACTAGCTGCTCCTTCCTTTCTGAGTAACAACTGAATCATAGCAGATGCTAAGGGTGGAAAAGACTGCTTGTCACAAAACTGTGTGGCTATGTTTAGTTCTGTCCTTGTATCCTAACTTTGTATTTTCACATTCTAAGGTGTGTCATGCCCTCAAACAATATTAGTAGGCTTGCAGGTAGAATTGCTCTGTTTTGTCATTCATGTCAGCTATTATAGAAATTAAATCATTGATTTACAATAAAGATTATTTTCAGGGGAAGGAGATGACTTCTCAAACTTCACAGACGGATGTCCAAATTCCTGAAATCCAAAGCTATTTTCTGAGGGGGGATAGCTCACACCATGACCTTAACCCAGAGATAATCAGGGATTTGTTGTGGAGCTTTTTCCTCCATGTCTTTCATTTTCCTATCCATCCCTGATATACTTCTCAAGAGAGAATTGTACCTCATTGCAGCATTTCTTATTCCTTATTTAAGACATTGGCTATGTAAAGGATTTTTTGAACTGTTTGGGAAGTATTTGAGTTACAGGGAATTTCCCTTGTTTATATTTTGTATATTTCTTAATCTGTGAGGTCTGGGTGAAAGTGAGAGATGATGAAGTACTAATTATTTTATGGTAATATAGGAATAATTCTTCAGCTGGGAGAGTTGCTGATTGAAGATTTGTGATAGTGGTAGTAGTTAGATTTTTGTAACCTAAGGATGTGCTAGCTAAGATGAAATGAAATGCTGTTCCACACTTTTTATTAGCTGTAGCATATACATCAGCAAATAATAAGATTCAGATTTCCTTATGTGAGGATTTCTCAATTTCTGTTTGAATGAGTCTTTTGGAAATGAATAATACAGTCATTGTTTTTTAAAGCCCTTTAAATATTCTTCACCATCTCAACATCTTTGGGAACTAACTACAGTGCATTCTGCAGCATGTATGAGTCTGTGTAATGTAAAATTGCTATTAGAGTGTAGGTTTGACATATCACACATCTTGAAACCTTTTTCTCTTGTGTCTGAATTTTCTGTAAGAGGTGTTTGTTAGCTGTTGAGCTTCTAAACATAAACTGAAGACCTTTTTTTTTGTTTGATTTTTTCCCCCTGAGCTTCTCTCTGTTTATAGACTGTACACTCCATGTTTTAAAAACTTACTGTCTGAAGGTTTTTACACAGAAAATAGCTGCAGATAACTATCTTACCTACTTTCCTCCAAGTTAAAGAAAACTTTCTCCTCCCCTTTCTCTGTATTGTTTCTTCAATTTCCAGTTCTTTCCCATTTGCTGAATAATACAGAAGTTAACTGGCTTATGGTTATTTTACTTCCTCATTTGTGTATTGGGATAATTAATTGTGTACTTTGTAATCCCAATACCAAGATGGTACTGACAAATTCTTTGGGTGATAATGACGTGTTCTTTTAAATTACCATCTAAGAGCTAGAGCCAAATCCTGATGCACTAGTTCAGATTTTATTGTGAACTGCTTTTATTTTCATAATTACTGAGTATCTTCATGAGTGCTTTCATGAACGGAGGAACACAAAAACTGAAGGCAGGTTTTCTGCTCACAAGGTAATACATAAGAAGACAAAGGAAAAGAGTTGGAAGACTCTTTTTTTTCTGTTCCTGTCCCATAATTTCTGCCTTCTGCTCTGCATCTCCTCACCTGCGATGTTTCATGCTCAGCTCTCTGAAGTCTTCATCATATCTTTCTTTACCATGAGAATGTATCCAAAATGAGTTAATGATGATGTTTTCCCCATACCTTTTCTTTATTCACTGGTTGCACACTGATCTAATGTTGGAAATATATTTTCCTTCTTTGTATGGTTCAGAATATGATGGGGAGAAAGGAACACCAACATGCACAACATCAGAAGCCATGCTGGAGTTGCTTACAATCTTTAATTTTTTTTTGTTTGCTTCACAAAAAAGAGGGGAAAAAAGAGAAGGTATGAAATTATGAGTCTACAGATGCTTTTACACAAATTAATGTCTGGTTTTGCATTTGTTTTACCTTTAAAAGAAAAATCCTTCTGTGAAGGTTATAAAATAGGCTAAGATTTATTTACCTTAGAGATAAGGAATTTTATTGCTTGCAAGGTTATTTATGACATAAGCAAAGACAAACAGAAGGATGAAAGATAACATTTGTTGCGAATACCCAAGAGAAAATGTTGATGAACTGGGAGTTTTAGAAGTGCCAAGTGTATTACTTTCCTCATTTTTATTTCTAGAAGTGGAGTTAGAGGTTCATTAATGTATGAAGGTAAGACCAGCATATGCTATACTATTTTTGCCCATCATCTGAGAAAATTAATGACAACTAACAGTATTAATTTAATATTCTAGGCAAGTTGCACAGCCTTAATGATGAACTCATTATAGGGTGAGTCACTGAATTTTTTTCTCCTGCCTGCATCTCCTGAATTTGTACAAGAACACAGTCTTGCTGGACTGGGACAAGGCAGAGCCAGGAACATGTAGGTTAAAAAGAAAGATCAGAATGTACTTGCAGACACTGCATAGGACATCAGTTTCTTGGAAAGCAATGAGCTAAGCACAATTTTGGTAAGATTCCAAACACAGTTCAGGGTGTAGCTGATGATATTTTGTTGTCCTTTCTTTGCAAGTTGAGTTTTTTTAGCTTCTAGGTTTTAAGCTTTTCTCACAAAACAAGGTGGTTAGAAAGTTACTTCAGACAAAACTCCAAAACTACTGTGGGAGTCGTATTGCCTCACTCGAGAGATTGGAGCTTTTCTGGAAGTACTAGAAAGCACAAGATGAAATCATACCCTTGGGCACCACTTGATAGAGAAAGAGGAAGACACTCCCAGTAGGAGACCCTGGGGCAGGTTAACACAGAGCTGCCTCCACCATCACCATGTTGAAAACTTGTCTGGTGCATTCTATTGGTCCTCTTTATCCCTTTAGTCTCCCTCACTCCTTTCTTCATTAAACGTTGAGTTATGTGATTTGTTGGTTTTTTTTTCACCATGCAGCGATGCAACAAAAGGATTAGAGCAGCATTGGAAGGCAAGAGGAGTTGATAGGAGTGCTAGGCAGCATAAAAATCTTACCGATATTTGAGTTTTTCACAGGTAGGAAGACTTGTCTTAGGAATAAATTTGGCCTCATCAGAAAGAGATAGCTGGTGGATAACCCAGCTCTGGGCAGCTATAGTGGCATTGTCCCCAGGTGTTTGTAAATCATCAATGAACTTTGCAAATCAGTGAAGAATGCTGATGATCCATCAAAACAATTTGGAATGAAGACTGACAATTTTTATTTATACTAATTAAAACTCATTTGTTATTGCTGAGGACTCAAGCTGAAGACCACCTCTGCTATTTTCTGCATAAAATGAGCAAGGCCAGGTTTAGGGGCAGTTTTAAGGGAAAACTGGCTTAGCTATAGATGGGAAAGGCAAAACCTTTCCAAAAAGCAAATATGAATTATTTGCCACTTGCTACTATTTTCTGAGAGAATCATCACTGGTGAAAAATAAATTACTTTTTTACTTTATTTGGAAATGAAGATAACAATAAAAGATGACAAAACATAATCAAAGAAAACAAGAGGTCAGCTTTTTAAATTTTCCTCTTAAAAAACTAGTATTGTCAATCTTGGCCATTCAAAAAAAAAAAAAACAAACTAAAAAAAACCCAACCAACCAATAAAAAAAAATTAAAAAAAACCTACTAGAAGAGAATTTTCTCAAAAGGAATAAGTTTGAAGGTGAAGTGTATGCATGTGTCTATTAGTATGAATATCAGGCATGTGATATCAGAGTTCATTCCAGTTACGTTTTCAAATGTTCCTCAACAATTTATTAGCCATTTACTTATTTTGCTTTCAATGGAGATTTTCTTGTTATCAATTCACTTGAGGAAAGAGGTCTTTACTGTTCAGATATGAATGCAATCAAAACTCAAATCTCAGAATACTGTTCTGTGCTCTGATATAAAGACAGTGATTTAAATTAGAACTTTATATATTTTGTTTTTCAGGTTTCGGTTATTTTGTCTCGTTGTTGGGTTTGGATTTTTTATTTAATTTAGGGGTTTTTTCTTTTGTTTTCATTAGCTTTTAACTTTTTTTTTTTAGTAAAGTATGGATTACATAGGGTGTATCTGTTTTACATTATTATACCTAAGACAGAAAATCCCCACATCTGTCTTCCAGAGGAGAAATTGTCTCTTCTACTGTGCTTGTTTAAGCAGCAAAGTCCAGCCTGGCACTTGTGTCACCCTGCTCCCATCAGCAGCCCAATCACCTGACCTATTTGCCTGGCACTGACCTATTTGCCTGGCAGACTACTAAGAGTTACAGCAACTAACTATTTCTGATTTCTCTTCCAGACAGCAGAATGATTTTGTGGTGCATCACTTCCTCACCAACTGCAAGGCAAGAATAAGACCAGTCTTATAATCTTTGAAGGCTCAAGAGGGTATGATAATGAATTATTTGCTTGTACAGTGCCCTGCTGCAGTCACATTTATCTTGTTCTGCTGCTTCTTCTTAAAAAATAGTACAGTCCATGAAAGAGGGACTCCTGCTTAATGGCAATGACATTGTCAAGTTTTTAAAATGTTGTTGCTCTGTGCTGGTGTTTCTGAGCAGTTGTGGGAAGTTCAGTCTTGTGTGATATCAGGACGATTGCTATAAACAGTTGCTCTCAATCACCCAGGCAGTGAAAGGATATGTCAGGGCTGACATTAAAAGAATCAGAAAAACAAAAAAAGTAGTAGTAATGATAGTGATGATGACGATGATGATGATGATGATGATGATGATGATGATGATAATGTGGGGGAGAAGGCTGGGAAAGGGGAACCTGGCATTGGTTACAGAAACATGACTCAGCTTCTGTTCAGTAAACTCTCTGTTCAAGCCCATTACACAACAAATTTAGAAGGGGCTTTCATATTTTTGCATGGCTTCTCCACTCTGATTTCCTGTTTACAGCAGACTAGGACAAAAACTTGTCAGAATAGCTGGAGAGCTGGGCCCGGACTGCAGGGGAGCTCCTGCCAGAGCAAGTTTTGCAGGATTTAGATCCAGAGATGTCCTGGCATTGTTCCAGCCTTTAATAATAAACACAATAGTTTCACTCCAGCAATAGCTGTATGTTCTGGTATGCACACACCAGCTGTGTTCCTGCTCCTACAGTCCAAGTGTTTTCCCAGACAGAATACTTCATAAAATGAAAATAGGCTTGTGCTATTTACAAGGCCTATTATTTTTAATGCATCTTTTTGTTTTCTAATATTTTTCCTTATTTCTAAATTAAACTCATCAAAACTATTAATTTAAGAATGTAGTTTTTAGAAATTTTTCAAACATATGTTTTGTAAAGGAAAAAAAGTGCAAAAATATATGTGCAGGCTTGCTTTGCAATTTATTAAGCAAAAATTACCAATACTGGACATACCATTAGAAAGCACATAATAAAATAAAGGAAAATGTGAATCTGTCAAGTTTACCTCCAAAATTTCCTTTACACATACCAAAGAAGTTGAAATGGTTAATAGGTATAGGAACCTCTGCAATAATAGATTAATCCATTGTTTCTGCTTTCAGTGTCTATCCAAGTGATGTGTACATATATAAACCTAGGAAACTAGGAAATTTAACATGCAGTCTTTTAATCTGACTTCTAAAACCTGTGTTCTATCCAGTTACCATCAATAAGCATTTTAAAAATATAAAATAAAATAATATTTAAAAAATATATTTTTAAATAGATTAAATATAAAAAATCTACATAAAATAAAGTGTACAACAAATTTATTTTATAAAGAAATAAATTTTCATTTTAAGGCTTCAGAAAGTTTTTGTAATATTCATAAATGGAAGAAGAAGCAAAGCAATTTAAATATGGAAAATAAATTGCTGGTGTCTTTTTTTTTCCTTGAAAAACATTTTGTTTTGTAAGCTTAAAATTATTTTTTTTCCTGTCAAGTTACTTGATGCAGTGCTTTAGACTAGAATAGCTGGAATGTGTTCTTGATTATAGCAATTACCTGGTCTTCCACTATTTAAAAGGAAGAACAAGGACTTGAAAAGCCATATTGAAGGAAATAATTTGGGTAGCTCTCACTAGCAATGAATCCCTTCCCAAGTGCTCCTTGTATGTTTCATTCACATGAAACTTTATTCAGATCCAGAACTATCTGAAGCTTTCCTTAACACTTGATGGTCATGCTGTAAGATGAGGGAGATGGAAAGTATGTGAAATATATTGCTATTTAAAGCATGCACAGCTTTGGAAGCCTGAAGACTACTGAGACCATAGCAAAAAAAGTAGAGAAAATAAAGGGGAGAAAGTGTTCTTCAAAATTCTTAATATATTATGAAGAGAATAATGAGATCACTAAGATGATTTTAAGTCTCCTGCATGCTACGACTGTCATGGCAGAAGAATTACTTTGGATTCACAAGCAAAAACGTATGCTTAATAGAAATTATCAAAGTGAAATTTTTGTTTGATGTAACTTATGGCTGCAGCAGTTAGATTGCAAAATGACATTTAAACTGTATCTGGCTATAAGTATTACTTATAAATGCTTCAAAGACACTGGTCACCTGGAGCAAACTCAGAGAGCAAATTATAGATTTTGAGTTCTATCTTGTCCCTATTTGAGTCCAATGCACACAGAATACTCCCAGTAAGAGAGACTTTCTTAGGCAAAATTTTTTGTTGAAAATTTGGTTTCGAATGAATACAATAAATATTGCCTAGTTCTTAGAGTTCTTCTTTAATAAGAGAGAAGAAGGAAGGAATCAAAGAAAAAAATCCAAGAAGGAATCAAGGGAAAAGATGGGCACCAATGTGGCCCTAGTAAATGGAAGACTACAACTATAGTTTTTGTTAGGTTAAAAAGGTCAAAAATACAACAATATTTGTTGTAAGAGTTAACCATAGCTAAACTTTCCTCATGAAGGCATTGAGAGGTATTAGGATGGAGCTTTGGAATATCTGTCTCTCTTTTTCATACATGGGCAATATACACTCCACTCATGGCTCCAAAGAAAAGGGCATCAAAACATTGTATTAGAAACATAACAATGTCCTTGCAAGTTGTAAGATTTAGTTGTCACCTGTTCTATGACCACTGTTTTAGGTAACTCAACAGGAAATTGAAGCACTTTGAGAAAACATGTTGTGTGAACACAGGGCAACTGGAGACTTGCCTTCCTTGCTCCAGCAACCTGCTCTTAAGTAAACAGAGGAGGAGTATTTCTGTGCACAGCAGTGTCTGAGGCTTGCAGGAAAAAACAATCTTCAAAGCAGCAATCCTCAGTGTTGCCTATGCCTTAGCTGCACTAAATGACCTATTTTTCTCTACCCAAGTGCTAAGCTGGGGGTGGTGGACACCACTGGTGCCCTTTCAGAGTGATGGGACAAATAGCTCATTGGTGAGAGCATCAGTTACTTTAGAGAGCAATGGAAACTAGAGCAGTGTCTATTAGGAGACAATGTGGGTGTCAGAAAACTGAGCACAAGCTGTCTGGTAAGACTTTCAGCTTTCTGGAAGACACAGGGACTTACAGGACAAAACTGCATGTAGTATATTTTTCAGTAATTGCAAAGTATGTTTTGCTGAAAAAAAAATTCTCTTAATGTTAACTAATATGTTACTAATGAATCAGAGAAGCTCCTCTGAACCTGTCCCAGTCTCTGCAAAATTAATCTGTGGACTCAATGACATAACCATTGTGTGTCAGCCTGCCATCTATTAGGTATGCAGAGCAGTTGTGAGTGCACCAGTTGTACCGTGCCGGATCTGTGAAGATGCAAGCCCAATGGAGCATTCTGCAGCTTTCGTTGCAGAACTCTAAGGCTTGGGATAAAGAAATCATGAAGCAAAACACAAGAATGCACCCATATAGTTTATCTTCAGTAAGTTGCATGAGATAGGCAGTATTCCTTAATTTTTTCAGTGTACCTACCGTATTGGATGCTTTGCTCCTTTCACCTTAGAAGTAAGAGTTTAAATTTCATAACTGAATTAATATAAAACTTTTAGCAATTTCCTCCTCATTGTTCTAGGGAAGTGATATTGGGAAGGCTGATGCCACAATTGAATGACTGTTCTCCATGATTTAAGAGTTAGAACCTTTCCTCTAAAAAGAATGAAAAGAAAAGATGTTTTTGAAATACCGTTTTGATGAACTGAGGGAAATATATGTCAATTTTCTGATAAATAAAACAGTGCCTGAAAAAACATACCTAATTAAAAATCATTATATTTATGCTTCTCTGTATCCTAATCACAAGCTGATGAGTTGAAAAACATCAGCAGAATGTCATAATTGCCAGATTCTGCATCTGGATCTTTGAGCTATTTGACAGACATGTAGCATACAAAATATCTAGGCAAGTTGCCAGTGACTGTTTAGATGTTGGTGTAGGGGAACATATAATGTTCTTCACATATCTGTGTCATTCTCTCAGAACTGTCTTTTTCTGCTTGTCTTTGTTTGTGTTGACCTTGTGTGGATTGAGACAAATACTCCTCTACTAGGTTTTTTCCATAAAAAGAAGGTGACTGAAAAGGCTGAAAATTTCTTTTTCTGCAGGTTTACTGATGCAGCAGTCATGAATCAGAGCTAGATGAGCTCAGTTAGAGACAAAAGTAATTAAAATCCGTGAACTACAAGGAAATCAACAGAATGGAAGAAATTTCCTCCTTTTAATTCAGTAAACATTGTCAGTGAGCCACAAATCCTACTTTTGATGATAATTTTTGCCTTTTTTATATACTGTATTTATGTAATATAATCCCCTCAAAAAGAAAGAAAGAAAGAAAACAAGTTAGGTATATGTATTATCATGTAGAAGCAAATTGTACATTCATTAAATTATTTGTACAGAACTGAGCTTGTCATAATCCATATAAGTGCATAAGATGTGAAAAGACTGAGCCTATTATTTCTATTTCTTTAACAAGACCAATGGCTTATATGCTATTTATTTAAATAATTGCAACCATCTTCTTCCCCCACCCTTGCTTTTTCCTTTTGGAGAGAAATAACTCCTAGAAATAACTAGTGTCAGCTGTGAATTCTGGAGGAGAAGCCAAGAATATAAAACCCGTGCATGTGTAGACAGATCCGACCCTCAGTGGGAACATGGTGACACAGTCTCTTTTCCCCGCCCTGGACAGCCTGTTGTCGGCAGCACCTTTTAGAGATAGCAGCCAAGGAACTTTCAGACCAGGAGCCAAGGGACCGGTTTTCCCTGCAGCTGCTCCTCAGAGTTAGACAGCCCTTGCTGAGGATGAGGCTGCACTTTCGCTATCCCTGCTTGGAGAGGATGGGCCTGGATCCTGCTGATGAGACTCAGTGCTCCCACAGCACCGCTATTAAGATGGTTGCCCATGTTTGCATTGCTAGAGTGTTCTGTGCTCACCCACAACATTCAAATGTTGCTGAGTGACATAGGGCTAAACTTAAAGCAAAAAGATTGTACCTGTTGGCTCTGAGGAAATTAAGTAGAGGCACCACAACATGTTTTCTTGCTATATCATTCTGGCTATGTCCATGGCTTATATTGCTTCCACTGATAAATCCCAGTAACTTACAGTTTTCAGCATGCTCCACTGCTCTTAGGATTTTCCACTCTGTCTTGTAACAACGCTAGCCTTAAGGCTTCTTGGGGATCTGGGTTGCAATTTATGAAAGTGAAACTTTTTAAAGGTCACAAGGGTGCTTGCTTCTTCTGTCAACAACTTGCCTTGCAAGAGGGCTGGAAAAAAGTGTTTGGCTCAATTCCTGGGTACAATCCAGAGCACCACAGAATAATCAAGTAACAGCATTTTGAAACCCCTTTTTAATACTGTCACCATGTTTAAAAAAACCCACCTTCTTATAAAGCTGGGAAACAAAACAGCACATCCAAGTCTAAACTGTCCTTGTCTGAACTGGACAGATCTCTGTTTTGTGTAATCAGTCAACAGATCTCTGGATCACAAAAATCAAAACTGTTCCTTTACCCACAGCCCCTTTTGTCCAGGTCTGCCTGTGTTTGGGGCTGTGCATGTCATCCCTGTGGACTGACACAGGTAAGGGAGGTAGATGCACGTTGATGGGGAGTTTGCTCTGTCAGAGGTTCCAGAAGGGCCTCTCACTGCTTTCAGCAAGGGACTTGCCTGATGCAGTGCACTTAGAAAATTCACATTGCACTACTGAGCTAAAAATACCTGTGTGCTCGTCAGAGGTGAGATGTCTGGCTTCTCTCTTGGTGCTGTTGGGACACTCTGGATAGAGGGGACAGTTGCCAGTTGCAAAATTTGTGTTTCTTCCTTCCCACTTCACTGCTCTTTAATTGTAATTACAGCAACTTTTTGTCCCTTTCAGACCTGCTCACTTTGAGCAAAGGGTAAAAGAATGATTTGTTGGAGTATTTTGTATTTATTAACTAGTTGCCAAAAGAATAAGGTTTAGTACAACAGAGCTTGCCCTTCACAGTAACAAATAAAACATGTTGCTTGTACTCTGTTTCAACCCTAACCACGCTGTCAAGTGTAATATTTCTTGTTTCTTCTGGTTGTGCCAGAAACCTAGTTAGTATTCAGTCATGCAGTCATAGAAAAGTACCAAATATATGCCAAATAAATTAATGTAATTTAAATTTACTTTCTAACTGCATATGGGAAGCAAAAAAAATATAAGAACAAGTGTAGGGTAGTATAGCTTTCAATAGAACAGTGTTTCCCTAGCTTAGCTACATGAAAATGCTGCTTATAAAGCTTTTTAAAGATTAATTTGTTTGTGGTTTGTAGTAGTTTGGTTTTTTGGAGGTATTTTTGGGGTGGAAGGGTAATTGTCAGACAGAGGTAGGATCTGTTATCTCCCAGGTAAAAAGATACAAGTTCACTGCAGTGTACTCTGATATTAGTGGTTCCTCTGAATGCTTTTAACCTGTGATAAAATCACCTTCAAGGTAAGTCAATTTTCATTCATTCTGAAATAATTCACAATAATAATGCTGAAACACCTTAAATATTTCCCATATTGCAACTGCTTCTTTATTCACTCATACCATGAATAAAATCAGTTTTATACAAGGAATTCAAAAGTCTATCTAGTCAGTACTCTTAGGTTTTTGTTCCATAAAATATGACTGGGGGAGAAAGACTATAGAGTATTTTCAAGCTTATTCTGAGAAGGTATTTTATGTCAAAAAGTTGGACAAAATGGGTTTTCTTTGAGGAAATACAGGCTTATATGAGGCTTTATAGTAGTATAAGTTATATGCACAGAAAAGAAGTAGGATATTTTGAGGCATTAAAAAGTTTGAATAAAATATAGGAAGAGGAAGACAGCAATTAAGACAAGATTATTACTTCCTTTGAATTACTTTGAACTATGAGGGGAAAAAGAGGGAAATCAGAAAAAAAAAAAAAGTAGAAATTTTGCAGCCTTTCATTTTAATTAATTTACATTGTTCTTCTTCTGCATAGGCCAGGTATTGTTTTCTTCCTTTGTTTGTTTGGGAGGTCAGTATTACATGGTACAACTGAAGAACTGCTTTGTTACTTTAGAGCTGTGCAACTCTGTCACCATAAACAGTGTTGACGGACTAAAACAAAATGGCCAACAGTAAAACTGTCTTTCCTGTCTTATCCTGTTAAATGATAGGGTAGGGGACCATTTAGTTTAATTTATATGTGATAATTATATAGCTGTAAAATATTGCTGCAGGCTTCTCTTTGTTTATATTGCATATTTAATACTGAAATAATTTTTTTTTTAATTAGAGCTGCAGTTGTTATCATGATCTATTTTCTTGGAATTTTAACTAGGAAATATGGGCTACTTACAGAAGAAATGGATCAGTCTCAACAGACTTGAAACGACTGAGGATAGACACCCCAAGCAAGAATGTAAATAATAAAAAAACAATTTATTAATCAGAAGCCATTACCTGCTGAATACTTGACACCTTTTACAGAAGGTATTCTAAAATTTTGTTTCTTAGCTGATGGGCAATGATAACAGTTTTGCCTTGAGTATTGACCATCAGCAGTGGGGAGTTTTCATTTTAATTCAAGACAGTCCAATCACAGCAAGGTCTTTTATGGCTCTGGGAAATTGCATTAATTTCCAGATAAATAATAACCAGGTTTTAAAATAATTTTTCCCCTCCTATGCTCCAACTGAAAGCAAAAGTATCATATCTCCTTTGAGAAAGATTGAATGGCATCACATTCATCAGTTCACTTTAGAAATAATATTTACTACACCAATAAACAGCTTAAAGGTTGTGGCCTCACCATTACAAATTACATTTGGTGGAGAGTTGGTGAGTCAAAGGCATGTTTTAGCCTGGAAAGGCTTGTGATAGAAGGCGAGATTCTTGGTAGTGACATACAGGAGCAAGAGGAATGCATGTGTGCTTGGTTATTCCCCTCAGTGCCCCAGCAGAAGATCATGCAGGGAGCTGCTCATGGTAGATGGAATGCACTGTCTTAGAGAGAGAGTTGAGTTTTTCCTGTGTAAAACACAAGAGAATTATCACATAGTGCCAGGCTAACTTTCTGGATGTGTTTTTTAATATTTTAATTGTACATTCCTCTCCCCCTTAAAATACATCTAAATAATTCAATTTTTATGTTATATTTAGCACTCTCCCCTTCTCTCATCCAGGTAGTTGTCTTTCATCCAAGTTACGACAAACATCTCAGGCAAGGTGCCTGAAGCAAACTCAAAGGCAGCGTCCTTCTGAACTCTGAATTCCCCATTAGGAGCTGTACTAGGTGAAAGGTACACTGTTCAACTTGGATTTCATAACAGCACTTGGACTCTACTCAGAAGCTACTGCTCTGTCATAACATCCACTAGGTAGGGAGATCCAGCTCTAGAAATAGCATGCTGTATCCAGGTGGAGTTCCAGGAGTGAATGACTGCTGGGAGAAGATATAGGTTACTTTTCTGCTATTTCCAGGATATGATCTGGAGGTCAAGGAGGAATGTGCTTGACAATGTGCCTTTGCAAGTGACTTTCACTAATAACATCAAAATCCAGGAGCTAAAATCCACAGGAATGGTCATACAGCGCAAATGCTGGTAACTCTTAACGTGTCTGTTGATCTCTGAAGGGGGACTCCACTCAAAATCCACAACATGCGGGACATCTGGCCTCTGTGTCCTCAGGAACAGCCATCTTCCTGCAGTACTAGCCTATGAAGAATCTCTGCTGGTCATTTGTCTCTCTGCAACAGTTGCCCATAGCTGTGTACCTAGTTGCAGGAATTGGTTTAGATCAGCAGCATCAGCCCAAGCAAATAGGTTTTCCTGTGGAAATGCATTGCTGTGTTGCTGCCCAGCTTCACAAACTACTTCTGGAGACCCTTCATCGCTCTGGTAGTTGGACTTCGTGCTTTGTAGCTGTGCTGTGGAAAGGTAAAGTAGTGAAGATCACAGCAAGGTAGTGGTCCATTTCTGTAAAACAAGGGAAGGTTTAAATCTCGCAAGTGGTTAAAAAGTACTCGGTACATGTTTTAACTAGATAATTCCCAGAAAATATCTTCATCCATATTGCAGCATTGCTTCTCAAAGCTCAGGTGCTTAAGCAGCATTGCTTCTCAAAGCTCAGGTGCTTAAGCAGCATTGCTTCTCAAAGCTCAGGTGCTTGAGCTATTGTAAATTGCTGCTGCTCTGTACACTTTAATGAATGGCTGAGGTGGAAGAGCCATTACATCCTGGTGTAACAGGCTTTTATGCATTTACATTTATATATTTACCTTTATATATATTTATATATTTACATTTATATTATTTATATAAATAACCATCTGCATTTAAAAATTCTCAAGGTCTCAAATAGCAAAACTTTGATAATTTCCAAATTTATAACACTGACAATACAACTAAGTTTGTTAGGTAGAGGTACTGGTCTGAAAATGTAGGATTCAAGATGTTGCACAGAACAGCTAGCAGAGTGTCCCTTTAATGGTGCTAATTTAAATTCTAACTCTGTAATGTAGCACTAGAAGGGTTGTGCAGATATTAAAAAAAATTAAAAAAATAACACATATATATATATATAGTCACTTAGCTATTAAGGAATTTGTTCTGGTTTTGACTGGGGTAGTTAATTTCTGTCACAGTAGCTATTATGGGAATGTGTTTCAGATTTGCACAGAAAGCAGCACTGACAACACAGACATGTTCTAATTACTACTGGGCAGAACTCACAATGCATCTAGATCTTTCCTGCTTCTTGAATCACCCCATCAGCGAGTGTGCTGGAGGTAGATAAGGAGCTGGGAGGGGATACAGCTGGGACAGCTGAACCCCAGTTGATCACAGGGATATTCTAGGATATGTAGTATCATGCTCAGCTTGTAGAGGTGGGGGAAGAAGGAAGTGGGAGAACATTTAGAGTGATGAAGTTTGTCTTCTCAAGTCACCATTAAGGCATGATGGGGTCCTGTCTTCCTGGAGATGGCTGAACCCAAGCCTGTCCACTGGAAATGGGGAATGAATTCCTTGGTTTGCTTTGTGTCTTGTGGCTTTTCCTTTACTAAACTGTCTTAACTCTTGAGTCTTCTCACTTGACTCTTCTGACTCTCCTCCCCCACCCACAGTGGGGCACTTAGGGAGAAGCTGCACACTCTTTCTTCACTAGGAGAGGTTATACACAGTAACAGATCTCCAAGCAGATTAGCAAAATGACAACCTTTGTGTTTCTTATTGGTTTTACCCTGAACTTAGGCAAATATTATGGACAGTGTTATTAATAAGGAGGGAATTAATTCTTAAGTCTGTCTGAATTCTTCACCAAAAACAAAATTAAGCTCAAAATTAACCTGAAATGCTCTATTTAGAGAGGAGGTCCTATTGTTTGTATTATGTAAGGTGTTGGATCGATGTTTATGTTGCCCATGCTAGCAGCTGCATCCCTGAAGATACAGTACTGTGGGAACATTGAGGCCCAGTACCCCAAACACCAACAGAGGTGCACAGGACAGGCCTGCCACTCAAGCCTCTGTTCTTCCCACAGGTCAAATCACATGCTGATCCTGAAGGACAATGACAATCTATTTTGCCCGTGCATAGCAGACAGGACATGCTGCAGCACCGCCACACTGCTGGCACACAGAGCAGACTCAAAAACATTGCACAGGGCACACATTTCCATATCTCCTTACTTCCAAGGACATCTTCTACACCCCAAGTCAAGAAACTTCATGTAAAAGTTCCAGCTGCAAACTAGACCTTTAAAGTCACTGCCCTCTTTCCTCCTAGTACCCCAATATTTGTGTCACCTCCTCAGGCAAAGGACCAGATACCTCAAAACAGGGTCACTGCAGCTGTAATGTGATACAGAGTCCTAAAAAGGCATTTCCCATGTGGGACCTGGCCCCATAAGCTCAGTCATGTAAATAAAAGAGATAGAATCCCGAAACTAGACTCAGTGGTATAGTTCTCAGTAGTACTCAGTGGTATAGTTCTAGAAATAGTTTTTTTCTATTTTTTGAGAAAGCAACACATGTTTTCCTGCAGTAAGTTCCTGTATTATGTGATACTTGTGTTTTTTTTTATTTTACACATAGATACAACATTTAAAACCCTTTTTTTTACAAAAGTTTATTTTCCACATGGAAGAGCAATAGGAAAAATTAAACTGTTTTCCACATACTGTTTTCTTAAAACAAGAGTCTACAAGGACATATGCAGCACCAAAACTAAAAACAAAAAAAAGTACAAACAGCCATACAATATAATCTATAAAGCAAACATTTAATATTGCACTTTGTTTCTCTAATGTTTGGATTTTACTTACTTTTTTCCTAATTCAGATCAGAATTCTCTATCAAATACTGGGTTTCAACTGTGAACCTCAGGTTTTATAATGCTGAGAACTGACCGATATTTATGGGAGAGTAATGCCTCTGAGTAATTTAAACTGTAAGTCTTTATTTGATAAGCTTATACAATTTTTCATTCTAATCACAAAGGCTGTAATGCCAAGCCAATTACTATGACATCGGTCAATCCTGCCTCATATGCAATTTTCCATTGTATTGTGGTAAGCATTTAATGCTATGTATATCAGCAATTGTTCCCTAGTCTGCAAAAAGAACAAAAAAAGGAAAAAAAAGTAAAACCACCAAATGCCCTTTTATACCAACGATCCCATCAGCTTTAAAAATTGTCTGGTTGGAGAGGGTAGAGGGAAGGGACATCCACAAAATTGGCCTAGTAGCATCATCCAATTTCCTTCTTGCCAATATTCCCGTTCAAAGCCCAAACCTTTTAACTGAATCACTTAAAACGCGACTCATTTGTATTTTATCACCCTGTTGTCATTTTTGAAACATGAATTATCTTTCATGTTCTCATAAAGGCCACTTATGGAAAAGCCGATTTTGTCGCATTTATGAAGCCTTAAAAACAAGGCAAAGGTTTTTAAAAATGAGCACCATGCAGAAACACCAGCCTCTCCTCTCCCACTCTCTTCAGAGCTTTTTTATTGCACAAGGAGTTAGGTATTTGATGGATTAGATCTCGATTTGTTCAAATACTCAAGACCAGAATAGTGTTCATCAGTGGTTTGTGTTCCACAGTTTCTGAAGAGCAAAGCTGACTTCCACTGTACATCTGCAGCATCTAAGCACTGGTATTTGTTAGCACAGGTAATAGCTCCATTGCACTCTTTTCCCTGGGGCACACTTAAGGGCAAGTGCTCTTTCCCTACGGTTTTGTTGCATTCTGGATGAATACATGGTATAATCCAGAGTTCTGTTTGCTTTAAAGCTCTTGATAGTGCCACAGAAGATGCAGTTATCAAAGCACTTCCACCTAACTCATATATAAGTATGGCTGGTAACACTGATCTTTCTTGCTTTAATTATACTTCTAATCTTGTACAGTATCATAAACCCTGAAGGTAATGCAAAGTGCGCAAACTGAGCTCTCAGCATAAAAGAAGCTTTTCTTGCAGTTTGAAATATACTTTCTACTAGACTCATCAGATACAGCATTTTTGGTGATTAAGTAGCTATATAAAAAAATAAATTTACTTTCCCTTCCTATCCCTACTACTTGAGATATTGATCTGTCTGTGAATCTAGACAGTGTATGACCACTTCCTTTTAGTAGTCTTTTGAGGAACAGCTGGTGTCTGCTGGTGCTGCTTTCATTTATGACTTTTTTTAAGAGCTTCACAACTTGAACATCTTTTTTCATAATGCAGAAAGAGAAATGGGAAAGAGGAGGATTTAATAACTTTTGTGTATGTCCTTATTCCAGATCTCCCTCTCAAGTAAAGAATAAAAAACAAAACACAAACACAAAAAAAGAACTAACTCAACAGTGCAACATAAAAAAACAAATAGCATTCCAACAGTTTGGCAAGTGATGAGTTCACCTGAGATTAAGTGATTTTTAGGCAGTCTGTAACAAAATGCTGCTTTGCAATAATAGTAGAAAGGCAACAAATTCTTAAAAAAAAATCAAGAAAGTATACAATCTTGACAAAGTCTATTAGTTTCTTTCTATTAACTCCCTCCCACCCTATCCCCATATCTGTTGCTTATCTACTACAGTAGGCTGCAAAACATACAGCAAGTAGGATTGGCTTGAAGGCATTTGATGTTTGTAAAATAAATCCACAATAGGATCCAAGCTGAAGAGGTGATACATGATCAGCCTACTAGGACAATTCTGAGCATGTGCATATGCAGGTAAAGTCCAGGCTACATTAAATTAAAAAAAGAAGGAAAGTCAGTGCATTTGTCAAAGTCTGTTGCTGTTGGGCTTTTTGTTTGTTTGTTTCTTTCTTTTTGTCAAAGCTTTCTTTTGCTCCTTATTGTGCGGACCACAAGACATAAGAAAGGGGTAACAACTGTCCGGCGTAAATGAGGAAAAGCTGTAGTGACACTGAACCGCACAATGTAAGCAATAAGCATGTGCAAATTTCCAAATTGTAAGAGGAAGCCAAACCTCTCTTAATGTGGTTTGGGTGTTTGGACACACATGACTGTAGGTTAGTAAGGCTGCTCCTAGTATGTGCCAGTATTTAAGAAGGAGGGGGGGAAAGCTCAGTTCTTCAAGAATGTGGAGCAGTCCTACAACGTTTCTGTAGGCTTCAAAGCATGATCACAGGTTGTTTTCATTTATTCACCACACAGGCAAGAGCAAACCCACTTTCTTTGAAAGTGTGTCTCCACTATGATGCCTTGACCTTCAACATGACAGGTATGATTCCAAACCCAAGTCAAGTCAGCTTCTTACGGATTCTTTCAACGAGAAGGGCAAGATGGTCTGTCGTCTGTGGGCTGATCTGGGTTCGGATCAATCTAAACAAAAGAGAAAAAAAAAAACCAACAACCCAAGGTATTTTTAGTACTGATTGCTAGAGAATAAATCAATCCAAACACCAAAATTTTTAAGTCCAAGACTGTCACAGATAAATGCTATTCCTGATTTGAAAGTTACTCAGGTAACTGAAGTATTTCTAAAAATTAGATAAAACTTTGAATTGAAAATTACTAAGTATAGTGAAACATTTTAAACTGCACATTGACGGTAGTTTAAGAATAAGCACAAATATGTAATAAAAAATTGTAAAAAATCTGCTATAGTAGCAGAAATGTTCTAAATTATTTATTGCATAAGAAGAAGACAACCAGACCCATCTCTTTAACATGTAGCTTAAAATACTAAATTGATTTTGGAAGACATTTTACTTAAAAAGGCACAAAATTATTAGTAAAAAGTTCTTCTACTTAATTTGTAAGTAACAAATCCTGAAAAACCCCATAAAATGTTTCAGAAGTTCATTACCTCCTCTTCTTTTCAACAAAAGGAAGGAGGTGAAGAACATGGTCTCTAACCTAGGTCTCCAAAACTCAATAGGGATTATAGTTTAAGTGGACACTATATAGTTTGGTCAGCTATTTTAAAAAGACATTTTTTAGAACAAAGAAAAGCTTACTTCTAAATATTTAGAGTACCTAAAATGAAAAGCTCCAGAGTTGTGTTCTAGGCTTATGTTATAGAAGAGACACAAAAAAACATGCCACGCACTCATTCACTAGCAGATTAAGTACTTCAAGAGGAAAACAATCAAGAGTCAGTGGATCCAGGCAAGATTTAGCCAAAGGACACTATTTTACTTTGTCCTACACCACTGCTTTTCCCTGAAAAATATGAACTAGGGTTTTGAAGCCTGAACTTGTGTCCCAGTTATTGAGTGACTTTCACAGAACTTAACTTGCAGACAGAAATGTTTGAACTGTGCATTTAGAGAAACCTGAGCCAGAAAGAACACCTTTGAATCTTCTCTGCATGGAAATTCTGAAAGTAACACATACGAAGAGCTAAAAATACAGAGTACTTTTAGAGCAGAGGTGAAAAACAGTTTGTTTTGCATCTATAGTCTGAAAACGTTGGTATTCATTAAAGTCATATATAACTGTAATAAGTTGCTGAGAGAGTTCAAAACAATTTCGGAATCTCTATGAGGCATTACAATGTAGAAACAGTTTCTTAGGTTTATTTCACATGGCAGAATTCAAAGAAACAGTGCATTCATAATTACATTTTGAAGTACCTACTTCTGAATAGAGAGGTGGAGGAAGAAAACGAAATTCCTGGATGTATGCAAACAGTGGTCCTGGAAGCGCTCTCTCAAAGTCATCACAAACACCTAAGGGTGCAAGGCTGGACTGCCGTTGTTCCTCCGTAACCACTTCTGCATAGCTGGGAGGTGCTGCAGGGAAAGGGCACACGCAGTTCGAACAACAAGTTCTTATGCATGTCAAAATATATAACATGACAAATATTAAACTTTTATATTGTAAAATGCACCAGCATTTAGATAAATTATTTCTGTGACTTTTACACAGTTACTGAACATGAAAAAGGGGTTACATTGCTATAATCTATTTTACAACTATGCTCAAATCCAACGGCAGACTGACCATTGTTCATTGAGGCTTAATGATCGCCTTCAAATTTAAAGCTTACTCAGAATACCAAATTTCTGTTACAGGCAGGAATGACAGAACATTGCATTCCTCTGGACTGCTTCATCAGTCTGCGATTTGTACATTAAAACCCCCATATGTTTATATGCAAAAATAGAGAAGCTACAGAGCTTCTCATTTGACAAAAGAGATTCCCACTGAAATGGATTACATTATGGTTTCACAATGTCTTGGCTACTAAGGATGATAAAGGTCACCTTAACTGCTACTCTGACAGGTTACACTGACTTACAACCAATGACACAGTTGAGATACTGGAGGCAGAATTAATTCTGCCCAGGTACAATGGCATTCTGTGCTTTCACTTGTACCAGCTTCCAAGCAGCTGCATGCCACTGCTTGTACACCTGAGAGAGGAAGGCAAAGAGGGGAACTCCATTCTTCTCAGAGAACAAGCAGGTAGCAAGGAAACATCCAAAGGACCTTCTATGGACCTTATTATGAAGGATGTAATTTGTGTCTGTTTGCATGACAGCAATGAATAAAGCACACAAAAATCAAAACAGACTTGTTTTGTCAGGTTACCTTCTGGTCTTTCAGGCAGTGTCAGACCAAGCCAATTCATGTTCATGCTACACTGACTGCTTACACTTGAAGTTCTGCTACCAAATGGGTGTAGAGGAATGGTGCCAATGACCAGTGGTAAGTTAAGGAATAAATCCATGGCGCCAGGAATATCCACGTATACCTAAAGAACAATAAAAAAGTATAGATTAAAAATAGGTTTGTATGAGCACTTCCTAATTATTAGACTAAAATCTCCAGCCATGTAATTTTTCACAAGAGGCTGAAATTTCATTTTGCTCATTTCAGAGCCAATGTCCCTATGGAGTCAAATAGCCCTCCAAGACAAAGGCAGCTCTATACTCTGAACACAAGTCCTCAGATGGAAATGTCACACTCATAACACATTTCCTTAGAATGTGCAAGATTTAAACAGAATTTACTTATAGAATTATTGTCAGGACATCTAATGCTAGGCTATATATTTCTTTTGTAACTAATTAGCAGTTCACAAAGCTTTGTTAGCAATTTGCAAGGAACCATGGAAACTACTCATGCTCCAATGAACAATCCAACATACCATCAGTGAATACTCCACACGGATTATACTACAGTCAAGGATTGAAGGAGAAACTGGTGGAATTTTCAACTGTTTGCCATTCCAGGTTTCTGTTTTGCCAGATGACAAGGATTCCCCACGCAGGCTGGCAACAAGCTGTTTGACTTCCTTCATTTTCCCTTTGGCATAAAATGCCTGTGTTTGGTAAATGGCTGCCTTTGGCACCACCACACGGGAAGAGCAGTTCTCAATCTCAGCAAAGATCTGAATTGATTCACCTGAAAAAAAACAACATTTCATTTTTCCTATGTATTTGCAAGGCAACTGAAGCAAATTTCCACACACTGTGTATTGTTATAAGACACTGGATGCTGCTAGCAATGCTCCACACTTTGAACAATATCCACTGATGCTAGCAGGAGTAAGGTCATCATGAGGTAAATCTAACAGAAAAATGCACAGGCCCAATAAAAGCAGATGTCCTTTAACAATATGGAGACAGGGCAAGATAACAAAATCAGTTGTTTAAAATAGCAAGACGAATGCAAACCAAAATGGTAAGAACAGTTTTTATTTATTTTACATAACAGTCACTAAGTACACAGTGTCATTTTAAAAGGGAAGGAAAAACATTTCCTATAATTACTTCTGTTACGTACCTGGGGTGTAGCCCTTCCTTTCAATTTTGGCACTTAAGGATATTGGGCCTGAGGTACAAAACCAACAACAGAGAGTTTTTTCTTTTGTGCCTGCTTGGGGTGACTGCAAGAAAAGAAAAATATTTTCCATTTAATAGAGTGCTCCATGAGTCTCTTAATCTGCTCTTATCAACACCAAAAAATATGTATAATATACTTTCTATGCATTTTGATAAGCATATCTAGTTCTATTTAGAGGGAAAATCTCAAGTAAATTGCACTACGCAAACTGTAAGCTTTATTCTAATTCCA